GCGCCCGGCCTAAAACAATGTCTTTAATAGGCAAAACCAAATTAATTGTTTACTACTACCAGACACTTGTCTAAGCTTCTCAACAACCCTATAAGGTTTATGTTACAGTTGTAAAATTTAGGTAAAGAGAGGTTAAGTAATTTGCCTGGAAATCATAGAGCTAAAAAGTGGTAAGCAGAATGGCTTCGAACGCTGATCTACATCTTATGGTCTAGGGTTGTCCAAGTCTGTTAGGTGAGCTCAGGAGGATAACTAGATCTGGGGTCAGAAGACTTCAAACTGTATCTCTCCTCTGCCAGCCGTGTTATCTTGAGCCTGTCCAAGGCACTTTCACTTCTAAAATATGGAAATTCTACTTCACAGGTTTGTGAAGCTTCATTATGATAGTGTAAGTAGTGTGTTTCGAGATTTTTCAACTATAAAATATATGTCATCTTGGGTGAGTAGCTGTCTTCTTTGAGCTTCATCTGTAAATTGAGGCTAATAATCACGGCATGATATGTGCTCATTGTGAAAATGAAATAAGACAATGAATGTAAACCATATGATACATTAATGCACCGTGCCTTGGACCACATAATTCAATCCAAACGCTAGTTATTATTAAGCACAACACTTCATTTTCTTTTTCTCGCTCATGTAGTAAAATTTTTTTTTTTTTTGAGACGGAGTTTTGCTGTTGTTGCCCAGGCTGGAGTGCAATGGCGCGATCTCGGCTCACCGCAACCTCTGCCTCCTGGGTTCAAGCAATTCTCCGGCCTCAGCCTCCCGAGTAGCTGGGACTACAGGCATGCACCATCATGCTCAGCTAATTTTTGTATTTTTAGTAGAGACGGGGTTTCACCATGTTGACCAGGATGGTCTCGATCTCTTGACCTCGTGATCCACCCGCCTCGGCCTCCCAAAGTGCTGGGATTACAGGCTTGAGCCACCGCGCCCGGCCCCTCATGTAGTAAAATTTTAATAAACCTCTTGATGAGTAGCATTAGAGATGGGATGAAAAAACCCCAGAGGACAGAGAATAGGTAAACTTTCTTTTTCTTTTAATTACATTCTTCCTAATTCCACTTTTTAGACAGAAGGCTGAGGCCGGGGTGCTGGGGAACCTTGCGGTGCTGGGATTCCCGTTGACACCCCGACGGAGCTTGGCTGCAGAGCCCCGAAGTCCCGCACTTCCGCCCGCCAGGTGGCGCTGGTTCTGACGCCGACTCCCGGAGAGACTAAGGCCGGCCACTCAAGATGGCGCCGTCCGCGTTGCTGCGTCCCCTCTCCCGGCTGCTGGCCCCCGCCAGGCTCCCGAGCCGCTGTGAGTGTCTCTCCTCTTGCAGGCCAACTCGACCCTCAAATTACCCCTCCTAAGACGGACCCAGCCCGCGGGTGCCGGAGGCGGCAGCGGCCCGGGCTCGTCCTGCAGTGACCTTCGCCAGCCAGCGGGCCCAGACCTGTTCCCTACATGAGACTCTGTGCTCCCCATCACCCGCCTCTAGCACTTATCTAAGTGCGACCTGACCACTCTTGGCCTTTGTAAATGGACTTTGGGTCCCTGCCTTTCCCAACTCTGCACGTTCGGTTCCGTAGACAGGGAGAGGAGACACCCTCCCCGGGGCGCCCACTACTTGCGCACTCCCGAGTCGTCTGAGGGTCTGTAAGCCTTAAATGAGGCTTTGAAGGCGTCGGGCAGGACTGGTGCGACCTGTCTAATTCTGCCAGTGACCCTGGGCGAGTTAGTTGACCTCTCTGAACCTCTATTTCCTTGACTGTTTAAGTGGGTGATGGGTGAGTTGAAGGGAGAGTTAAATGCAATAATACGCACATAGATATTAGGGTTTTTTCCCTACAAGGCAGTATGTTACAGATTTACAGACACTCTGCCCTTTCAGCTTCAGCGCGGTCGAAATTCTACGCGCGAGACCCTCCGAATGCCAAACCTGACTGGCTGAAAGTTGTGTTGTCCGTGGGCACCAGCATCTTCTTGTGGGTCTATGTAAGTACTTTACTACCGGATGTCATGAGACTATGCTAACATAGTAGGAGAATGAGGTAGCATTGCGAGATTGGTGCTGTTACGTTGTATGGCAGTGAAACTCTCCTAACAGGAGGATATTTATATAATCGCTGAGAACATAATTATCCATAAGGAAAATCCCAAGGACTAAAAAGAAATTAAGATTTCAGCAACACTGAAAAAGTATGATGGGACTGAAATTTGTTATTGTTTCTTAACATGATTTTGTAAGGAATAGCAGTTTTACTAAATAGTAATTATACTTTATTAATGAGAATTGAGGCTGATTGGAGTTCTATGAAGGCACCTTTTTCAGATGCTGTAAAAAGTTGTACAAACCAGCAATGTACAAGTTGTACAAATTGAATCCCAGTAGACTTCCAAAACATTAGGTTTTAATCAGTTTGTTTAAATACACTGTTGGAAATTGTACTTAGTGTGTAGCGACCTTTTTAAAAATTTTTTCACGTCACGTGCTTCACACATAAACTTGTATTTAATCATTTCAACAACACTATGTGATACCTACTATTGTTGACCCGTTGCAGATAAGAAACATACTTGGAGAAATTAATTTGCTGAACTCAGTTCTCCTGACTTTAGAAGCCACACTATCCTATAGACCACTGTGAAACACGGCCTATGTAGAGATAAAATTATTTTTTAAAGTTAAATTATCTGCTATATTAATATTTAAAATTCTATTTATTATCTAATGGTTCAGGGCTTCCTCAACTGGCCCCCAGGTCTTAGATATTTTAATTTCTTGTTAAAGTGGTTCAGATTTTTTATTAGGAAAGGGATGAGAGATTTTGAGTCGCTTACAACTTAATAGTAACTTGTCTTTTTGAATAATATTGCTTATCATGAATTTTATACATTCTTAATTTAAGGTTTACTCTAACAAGAAGCTTGATTACTGCTGAGAACACTAGTGATTGAACTTGGATCTTTGATTGCCATGAATGTCATTGTATATAAACCGTTTTTCCAGTTGCATATTCTGTCAGACAGTGGTTCTAAAAAAATGTGACTGTCCTCCATGACATCTAAGTAAAACACATACAGTTTTGTGGAGGGGTTGGTCATTCAATCAAGGTATCACACTTCTAACATTAGAAGCATAACACGAATCCACCAACCAGCCTGGATCCCATTTAATAATCAAGTTCTGCTGTGTCATGTTGATTTACCCCTGATAAGGCATTTCATTACATTTATTACCCACCAAATGAGAAAAATTTTTTGGCAGTAGTTGAATTTAAATTTTTGGCCAGGCATAGTGGCTCACACCTGTAATCCCAGCACTTTGGGAGGCCAAGGTGGGTGGATCACCTGAGGTCGGGAATTCGAGACCCACCTGGCCAATGTGGTGAAACTCTGTCTCTGTTAAAAATACAAAAATTAGCCAGGCGTAGTGGCGGGTGCCTGTAATCCCAGCTACTGGGGAGATTAAGACAGGAGAATCGCTTGAACCCAGGAAAAGGAGGTTGCAGTGAGCCGAGATTGTGCCATTGCACACCAGCCTGTGCAACAAGAGCAAAACTCCGTCTCTAAATAAATAAATAAATAAATAAATTTTTAAGGGCTCCCTTCTCAAATTTAGTATGTCAGATTGCGGTGATCAAGTGTATACCATTCCTAGTTTTTGAACTTTTGGATCTCTTAGCCTTTTATTTCTAACCAGAATAGTTGTTTATTTTTTGTATTCTTATTCATCTTACAAAATATAAATATCCAGGAAGACTACATTTCTAATTTTAACTGTTTAACTATTTGTAGCTCATCAGAAAACATAATGAATATATTTTAGAGTACAAAAGAAGAAATGAACTGGAATAAACTTGAAATACCAATACAGTAAGTATACAAGTTTACTGGATGAATAGATAATGCAAATTAACTTGACCTCTTTTTTAAATACTGAAAAACAGGCTTGTTGTTTGTTTTGTATTAGGTTTATACATTTTGGTACCCATATTTCTGTCTGTGAGAAATTTATAAATTTGTAATACCTTGCCTCAAGCAGTTGGTTTGGGTTTTAGGGGTTTTTGTTTGTTTGTTTGTTTGTAAACCTGTTTGCTAGGCTGGTCTCAAACTCCTGGCCTCAGGTGATCCTCTCTCAGCTTCCTAAAGTGTTGGGATTATAGGCATGAGCCCTTTTGCCAGCCTCAAGAATCTTTTAGCAGAATCTTTTTTTTTTTTTTTTTTTTTGAGACCGAGTTTCGCTCTTGTTACCCCGGCTGGAGTGCAATGGCGCGATCTTGGCTCACAGCAACCTCCACCTCTTGGGTTCAAGCAATTCCCCTGCCTCAGCCTCCCAAGCAGCTGGGACTACAGGCATGCACCACCATGCCCTGCTAATTTTTGTATTTTTAGTAGAGACGGGATTTCACCATATTGACCAGGATGGTCTCGATCTCTTGACCTCCTGATCCACCTGCCTCGGCCTCCCAAAGTGCTGGGATTATAGGCGTGAGCCACCGCGCCCGGAGCAGAATCATTTTTAATCATTAGTCTTTGACTCTGTTCAAAGAAAGATATGTTTAAGAATGAAACTAAAATCACATTATTTTCCTAAATCTAATAGTGCCTTACACCTTGTTTTCATGGCACTTACAACAAATTATTATTCTTTGTGTGTGTATTTCTTAACATCTGTTTGGTATATTCCACACTCGAGTGTGAATTCCATGAGAACAGAAACCTGTTTTATTAATTGTTATTTATTCAGCAACTTACTCATCTTGTCCATTTAGAGTTTAATATTTGTAGAAGTGATGAATGTATAAGGGCAATAGATTTTTAAATTTTTTCTGCATGGGCCGGGCGCGGTGGCTCAAGCCTGTAATCCCAGCACTTTGGGAGGCTGAGGCGGGTGGATCACGAGGTCAAGAGATCAAGACCATCCTGGTCAACATGGTGAAACCCTGTCTCTACCAAAACTACAAAAAATTAGCTGGGCATGGTGGCGCGTGCCTGTAGTCCCAGCTACTCAGGAGGCTGAGGCAGGAGAATTGCCTGAACCCAGGAGGCGGAGGTTGCGGTGAGCCGAGATCACGCCATTGCACTCCAGCCTGGGTAACAAGAGTGAAACTCCGTCTCAAAAAAAAAAAAAAAAAAAAATTTTCTGCATGACTATTTCATTATAAGTGTCACTACAACTAATATCCAATTGGACAGTTCCTGGTAAAAACCTAGTTATGAACAAAATAGCATATTCTGCATGGTCTAGGATTTAAAAGAGAAAGTTTGTATATATGTAATACACACACCTGGCTGGGTGTAGTGGCTCACGCCTATAATCCCAACACTTTGAGAGGCCTCGAGGCAAGGAGTTTGAGACCAGCCTGGCCAACATGGTGAAACCCCATCTGTACTAAAAATACACAAAAACTAGCTGGGTATGGTGGTGCACGCCTGTAGTCCCAGCTACTTTGGGAGGCTGAGGCACAAGAATTACTTGAACCCAGGAGGCGGAGGTTGGGAGGTTGCAGTGAGCCAAGATTGGGCCGCTGTACTCCAGCCAGCCTGGGTGGCAGAACAAGACTCTGTCTCAAAAATAAATAAATAATTTAGAAGTATATACACCTGGCCAGGCATGGTGGCTCAAACCTGCAATCCCAGCACTTTGGGAAGCTGAGGTGAGTGGCTTACCTGAGGTCAGGATTTCAAGACGAGCCTGGCCAACATGGTGAAACCCTGTCTCTACTAAAAATACAAAAAATTAGCTGGGTGTGGTGGCAGGCACCTGTAATCCCAGCTACTCAGGAAGCTGAGGAAGGAGAATTGTTGAACCCAGAAGGCAGAGGTTGCAGTAAGCCGAGATTGTGCCATTGCACTCCGGCCTGGGCAACAAGAGCGAAACTCCGTCTCAAAAAATAATAATAAATAAATAAATATATATAAAATAGCTATGTATCAAATATATATATAAGTGCACCATACATAGTATGTATGTGTGTGTGTGTGTGTATATACATATACACACACACACACACATATATGGTGTATTTCTGAAACGCTTATTTAAAAATCCTACATTTTATAAGTGAAAAGTCACTTAAAAATCTCAGCTTTTGTGACTGGGTTGATTAACGTTAAGTAACTTATATCTGCTGTATAATAAACATAGTGATCAACAAACTATCCTTTGTTTTCCATATTTTATGACTCTGAAACTCAGCTCTTTATGGTTGATTTTCCAAATCTTTTGCCTTTTTTCTGGAAGCACCCTGCCCATTTTACTACTCCAACCAGCCAATCAAGAGATAAAAATGAGGCTGGGCTTGGTGGCTTATGCCTGTAATCTTAGTACTTTGGGAGGCCAAGGCAATGGGATAGCATATGCCCAGAAGTTCAGGAAACTATACCAAAAAAAAAAAAGAGAGAGAGAGATAAAAATGAAATAGGCATTTAAATGCAAACCAGATGGTTTTTGCTATTCTTTCATAGTTAAGGCAAAATATTTTTTGTTAAAATAAGGTATTGCTACTCTTCGTGGGTTTCTTTTCTAGACTTTTTCTGATGCTCTAAGATGAATTATTCAGAGTAGTTTAATTTTAATATTATTTCTGCTGGCTAATGCTGTACTTATTTTTCTTTCTTCATTATAGGTATGCTCCATATAGTGACTGTAGCTGTTTCTCTGGATTTACCATCTGCTAAATTGTAAATGTGAGAAAAAAGGTTATATGTGACTATATAGGAAGTCAGCATTTGTATTTTGCATCATTAAAATAAAATAAATAAAAAATGCTTCTGTATTCTTCAGATAAAGCATATTGTGACAACTTGTAGAAAATGTTCATTTTAAGGTACATTAATAAAAGTATTTCAATATGGAAGGTACCATCTGATAACAAGGTCAGTGGTAATTAAGGACATAGATTCAAAAATCAGGATTTACTCTTGTATCACCTTTACTTTTTTTTTTTTAATGGTCAAAAGTGATGACTTTTTTTTTTTTAAGACAGAGTCTTGCTCTGTCACCCAGGATGGAATTTAGTGGCATGATATTGGCTCACTGCAACTTCCGCCTCCCGAGTTCAAGTGATTCTCCTGCCTCAGCTCCTGAGTAGCTGGGACTACAGGCGCTTGCCACCACGTCCCAGCTAATTTTTGTATTTTTAGTAGAGATAAGGTTTCACCATATTGGCCAGGCTGGTCTTGAACTGCTGACCTTGTGATCCACCCACCTTGGCCTCCCAAAGTGCTGGGATTACAGGCATGAGCCACCACACCTGATCATCACCTTTTAATTTCTGATCCGAACATTTATTTAGTATATTAGGAGGACAGAATTCCCTTAATACTCAAAATACATAGGATCACAAAGATTATTTTCTCTAGAGGAGTCATTTTATTAAGTTAGGAAGGATGGAAAACTCCTGTTACCAGAAAAAAACTGTTACCAGAGTTTTTCTAACTCTCTGAATTTGATTTTCATGTGGGTGACTACTCTTACTCCCTGTTATGGCAACCCAAAATTTGTTGTCTTTTTTGCTAATAGGACTTTAAACCTATGATTTAGCAAACTTTAACTCTTGACAATCGTTTTCAGGGGAGTTGTTTGTTTGAGGCTTCTATTTGAGACAGGGGCTTGCTCTCTGGGTCAAGTGATTCTCTCACCTCAGCTTCCTCAGTAGCTGGGACTGCAGGGGTGTGCCACCATGCCCAGCTAATTTTTTTTTAGTTTTAGTAGACACAAGATCTCTCTGTTGCCCAGGCTGGTCTCCAACTCTTGAATTCAAGTGATCTTCCCACTTCAGCCTCCCAAAGTGCTGGGATTACAAACATGAGCCACCTCGCCTGGATTCTTGATTTTTAAAAAGAGGGTGGAGGATTAATAGACAATTTTAAATATACATTTGACTTACTCAGTAGGAGCACCAACCGCTTGAGCAATAAAAAAATCCACATGTAACTTTTGACTCCCCAAAATCTTAACTATTACCAGATGCTGTGGTGTGTTCTTGTAGTCCCAGCTACTTGGGAACCTGAGGCAGGAGGATCTCTCGAGCTCAGAAGTTCTGGAATATAGTGCACTATGCTGATTGAGCTTCCTCACTAATTTCGATATCCATATGGTGACCTCCCAGGAACAGGGGACCAGCAGGTTGCCTAAGGAGGGGTGAGCCCGACCAGATCAGAAACAGTTGGTCAAAACTCCCATGCTAGCCGGGTGTGGTGGCTCACGCCTGTAATCCTAGCACTTTGGGAGGCTGAGGTGGGTGGATCACCTGAGGTCAGGAGTTCAAGACCAGCCTGGCCATCATGGTGAAACCCCATCTTAAAA